GAAATGTTCTAAAATTGATTGTGGTGATGATTGTACATACTTCTTGATATGATTGAACTATTGAGTTGTGTGGTATATGGATTATGTGCCAATAAAACTGAGTTGATTCCAGGGGGGCAAAGGTCAGCAGTTGGAACCCGCCTACTACTCCACGAGAGGAAGATGCGGCAGTCTGCTTCCTTCAGAGTACCCCTGGAGGCCAGGGGAACAAAGAGTTGGTGGCTGTATTTGACAGCATGGGGATACACTGAAGTCAAGGGCAGTTAAAAATGACTGCAGCCAAGGGCTTGTTGTCTTATCTCTCATTAACTCACACACATACACACACCTGTTTGGAGTTCACCCTGATGGCTCAGGGGTTGGGGAAGTGGAGTCGGGCAGAGTCTCACAGTGCTTCTTTCATTCTAGGGAGTCCAGGGGCGCGCTGGGCAGCCGAGCCCTCTCACACGACAGTATTTTCTTCCCCGAGTCTGGCCAGGACCCTGCTCGCCCTGTGCGAGTGTTTTCCCAAGAAAACGTGTGTGACCGGATCAAAGCTCTACAGGTAAAGCTTTGTACTCAGGAGGGGCAACTTGGAAGTTAAGCCAAAGGGAGTTTTCCATGACTTCTGCTTGTTTCAGCTGGTATATGTCGTATGCTAAAGTACACGCCTCACAGCCAGCAGACGACACACCAAGTTAGTTGCAACTTCACCTTGATTTGTGCCAATGCCAAGATGGTGCCAGGAGTGTTGATCCCAAGTGGTCTGCTCAGCCCTCTGTATCAGACCAGGGGCCCCAAAATACTTCCCGAATGAGTCCATAGGTAAATTTTTGTATATGCAGTCACCGAGGACATTAAGAGCAAATGTTTTTTATTCCAATCTAGTTAAAAATACAGTGTAACGTGAAGATGGGGCCCCCTCCCCCTGGGGGACTGCCTGTCAAGCGTGGAGATGATGCTGGCATGAGTTCTGAGGACGATGGGCTGCCCAGCAGCCCCCCGGAGATGTCCCTGCTGCACGACGTGGGCCCCAGCACAACCATCAAGGCAAGTACAGCTCCCTGTGACTCCATCCTCACCCAGCATGGGGGTAGGGGGCACTGGGGGTCCTGCGTGGTCATCACTGTGTGGGCCAGCACATCTTCCAGGGCAGGTCTTTGTAGCCCACATCTGGTCTTAGGGCTGCATTTCTTTTCTTTGCTGGAGCAGAATTTCAGGTCTCATTGGAAGATAAGGATTTGATAGCACCTGTCGCGATGTTATCTGACACAGTCAACTCCATACCTTGTCATTCTTGTCTGAGCAGATGACCAGGCCGGTCACCCAATTTGAAGAGGTGAAGCACCTTTGTGTCCATTTTCTGTGGCCATGGCGTTTGGCCAGAAGGAGAAAGGAGGACTACATTCAGCTTCCCAATTCTCAGAGCCTTACTCTGCGGGGGGTTTTGGGACAGGAATGTGAGGGGTGGTGCTATTAAACACAGCAGCGGAGAGAGAGGAGCAGGAGAGGTGCCTGTGCCCTCCACAGCTGGTGGACCTGGTCTCCAATTCCACCTCCCCTGGTAGAAGCAGCAAGGAGGGGGCCCAGGAACTGAGCTCATTCTCCTGCACAAACAACAGAGCTCGCAATGCCACCCTTTTCAACCTATGACATGCAGATCTGTTCATGAAAAATAACAGGAAGGAAAACCCTGTTGCTATTGAATAGATTCCAGTTCTTAACAGCCCTATAGAGAGCTGAGTAGAATGCCCTCCACCCCAGGCTAATTTTTTATGTATTTGGAGCCCTGATAAAACAGGGTCTAAACCCTCAGCTGCTAACCAAAATGTGCGTGGTACACACACACACCACAGGTTCACACCTCGGGAGAAAGATGGGCGGTCTGCTTCCATAAAGACATATTCCTAGATAGCTTATGGGACAGTCCTCTGTCCTACAGGGTCGCCAGGAGTCCAAATTGACGTGATGGCCGTGGGCTCGGGGGAGGAGGCGGGCTTTCCCTTTAAAGAAGCTGGTTACCCACTCTGCTGTGACGTGGCTGGTGAGTTCCAACGCCGGCTTTTGAGTTTGCAGTCGGGTTCTCAGTCCCTGTGCCACCACCATTCTGTATTGGTCCATAGACGAGTCTCTGGGTGACTGACAGAGAGCCTGTAGAGGGGATAGAACTCAGGGCTGAATCATGGTCCTCAGATCATGCAAAGCCATGAAAGCTCCCGGGATCCTGCCTGTGTGCATCTGGAGAGCCCGCTGCCCACCTCTGCCACCACAGTAAAGGGACTCTCCCTAGTGGCGTTATGGCGCTTTCTTAGGGACCCCTGTTCTTAGTTTGCTGCCCTAACAAAGCGCCACAAAGTGGTGGCTTTAAAAGCAAAATTATTTCCTCCCAGCTTGGGCATCTGGGCGTCCACATGGATTCCTGATGAGGGCGCTTGTCCGGCTTCAGTAGGTGGCAGCAATCCCCGGGGTCCCTTTGCTGATAGACCCCTCGTGTGGTGTCTACCCTCTGCGTTTGACTCTCTGTCCAGCCATATGGGCCGAGGACCCCCAGAACTCCATGATGCCATTAGCAGAGACCCTCTACAAAGGAAAGCCCTCTTTCCCCAATCAAGGCCACACGCCCAAGGGACAGGAGTGGAGAGTTCAGCATACAAGGAACACTTCAAAACATCCATGGAGAAATCCCATCATCTTCTCATTCCAATTCTCCACGGAGTGTTTAAAGCCCTGCCATTTGGGGGAACAGTGTCATCCCTAACTATGGCCTCGCAGATCCTGTGCTGTTCGGAATTACAGTCAGAAGCTACTTACGTTTATTCAGAGGACCCCCTCTTCCCCGATCCCCACATAGGCAGGGGAAGGAATCCTTAGCCACCCATGTGCATGAAAACATGGGTTTTCGAGGAGCCCTGGTAACGTAGAGGGTCAAGTGTTGGACTGCTGACCACAAGGTCAGCAGTTTGAAACCACCAGTCACTCCATGGGAAGAAGGTGAGGCTTTCTGCTCCCGTAAAGATGTACAGTGGGGTGAGGTGGGGGAGCCTTTCTACTCTGCCCTATCCGGTCGCGATGAGTTGGAATCGGCTGGACGGCAGTGCCTTTACTTTGGTTTGGTGGGCTTTCACAGCACTCACAGCATCAGTGCTTCCACAGCATTGATGGCACGGGAGCACAGGGAAGGGTAGCCCAGGCTGGTTAGAGAACGTCTCTGTTCTGCAGCAGGCTTGTCCTGGGGTCGGAAGAGAGTGAGCTTCTGGGCACGTGGAGGATAAGAGCAGGTTAACTCATTTTCTAGAATGTGGGCCAGTCCTGCACCCTTTATCACCTGAAGCCCTTAAAATGCTAGAATGGGGGGTGGGAAGGGGAGGGGACGGAGGTCACAAGTTTGTGGCACTGCCCACAATTGCCTGGCGAATGACATGTTTTTCTCTCTGCATCTTTACGGAGGAGGTGCAGCTTTGGCAGCTCCAGCCTTAGGACCCGATGAACAGTAGGCATGTTTGGGGACCACATATTGAGCAAGTGTCTGTCCAGAGCCACCTCCTTGTTCCTTGTTGACAGATCTCCCCGTCCTATCCCTCCATGCTCCGACTCGGAGAGCGTCTCAGTTCTCGGGCAGGCAGTAAAGAACAGCGAGTGATGCCTACACCCTGTTCATCATGGAGTGAGTTCTGCTCCATGCCCTCGGGGCAGTGACGCACAGAGTCCAGCACTAGCTGGGCAGAGCCCCGCACACCAGGCCTGCGCTGACGGCTTCACTGTCAGCGTCTCTCTGCTGCCTGTGACTTGGGGAAAGTAGCCCGAGGTCTTATCCATGGTTGGGCTGATGTAAGCCCTCCACTGGCTTCACGGGATACCAGTATCCCGTGATACCTGGAGGACTGAAAGACAGAAAGCAGGTAAGGAAGGGAGAAAGCAAGCAAAAGGTTATCTCGCTCCTGGTTTGGAAGGCACCGTGATCACATTTCATACCCTGTCGGTGCACAATTAGTCTCTTGAGAGTGGGAAACAAAGCACCCTTTACACTGTGCTTATGTAACATGGGCCATTTGATAGGGTGGCGCCTTTAATCCCCAAAGGCTGGGATTGTGGGCGGTTTTGCTCTTTTCCTGTTTTGACACCTTACAACACTTGGCAGAGAAACCCACTGAGGCTTATGGTCAAGCAAAGCCTTCGGGAGCAAGTATGGGAAGACTCCGCCATGGCAGCAGCTCCTGAGAACCTAAGTTGGCAGGAACCACGTGAAGTTATTTCTTTAATGGGTTGGGGCACCAGTGCACCAGACTTGACCCAGCATCTTCCAATCGTATTGACAGATGACTCCCATTCCCTACATTTCAGTGGGTTAAACAGGTTAGAAAGAGTTGTGCACCCCCAGGCCTTTCTAAGGAAGATTTCCATGTAACCAGACATGTAATGGATTCCCTGCTATGACACGGGAAATGCTGGTTGGTGGGTGGTGAACAGCTGAGTCTTTTGCCCTGGATGATGTCAGAAACAATCGCGTGGAAAGAGTAAGGATTTGGCAGCCATGCGCAAGCCTGCCTCACCAGTCAAAGAGCAGACCTTTGGGCCCATCTGTCACCTCTTAGAGTCCATGCCCTCGGAGGAGTTTGGAGAAGATTACGTGAGGACGAGCAGATCAGGGCTCCCCCTACCATGAAAGGAGTGACCGGTACAAGGCCAGACCAAGAGTCTAAAGAGGCTTCAGAAACCTCGGGGAAAAAATCCCATGATCTCTCCATTCTATTTTTCCATGGATTTTTCTGCTTCTCCACCCCACCATTAGTGCTTTGTGCCTGCTGACCATTTCCTTGCTTACCCTTCCTCCTGGCTGGGCCCTCTTTTTGAGGACAAACATTTGGAAAGCTGTTGTCACCACAAAAAATGCTCTAAACCTCAAGCTGTTTCCTCATGGTCCTTGGAACCACGTTGGCCCCTGCAAAGGGCCGCGTGTTAAACTTCTTCCAGAAGCATCTAGGTTTCAAGATGCACTGGGTGAGTAGGAATATACGACCCTAGGTCCTGCCAGTCTACTTAGGGAAATGCTAGACAGCCCCTTTATTGGTCCTGTGAACCCCCTACAGACCTGGCTAGCACAGAGTTACTTCAGCCAGCAAAGGCAGAACTCACGGTTCTCTGCGGTTATGGCAACGGGCTTTCCCCATGACCTGTGGTCATCCAGTCAGTTCTGACTCTCAGCAGCCCGGAAGACAGAGTAGAATAGAGCTAGCCCATAGGATTGTCCAGGGGTGTATTTTTACTGAAGTAGATGGCCTCATCTGTCTCCCCCCAGAGTGGCCAGTGGGTTCAAACCACTAGCCTGTCATTGTGCAGTCGAAGTGCTTAATTATGGTAGCACCAGGTTCCTCCTGGCCTTGCCAGATCCCAAGGACTTTCAGAATGACGGTAGAGACAGAGAAGTGAGAGTTTTCAGGGAGAGGCATTGCATTTCCTAGATCAACTACAGCAAGGATTTTGCATGTGCGATCAGGTCATTGCTCTGCATATCAGGATGTTGAGCAGGCCAGGGCCACTGAGATGGTGGACCAGCATGGGCCTGCACCCAGGACTGTCTGCTGTGGCAGCCTTCAGTGTCTTGGTCTCAAGGAGAGGCTGTGTGAGCACAGGGCAGCCCAGTGGGAGAGGAGACAGCAGGGGCTGTCTGTCCTCCTTTTATGGGTGTTCAGCCTAAGAGGGGGTGGCTGCAGGGCTGGGGTTGTCACAGCTCGCTCGCTCGCTCTCTCTCACTTTCTTTCTCAATCGTGAGGTCATTGCATTTGCAAAGCTACTGCCTTGGTCTCTTGCGTCTCGGACACTGAAAGAAAGACAGACGTCCTGCAAAGACCTTTGTGAACAGGAAGTTGTGGAGTTGGGCTGCGTGGGAAGAACGAGTCCTGTGGAGCCCCGGGTGTGAAGGAGAGAGCTGAGCTCCACACCAAGGGCTTATACTTTGTTCCCCTAAGCAAGGAGAAGAATTGAGGTGCCTGTGTGATTTCGTATGGGACACTTGCTGCTTGTTTGCGACCTTGAATGAGGATGACCTGGGCAAAGTCTCACTTGCCCAATCTGAGATTCCTGCCTTAGGTATGAACAAACCTCTGTCCACGAAGTCTATTCCGACCCAGAGCAATGCCCCAGGCGTGGTCCTGAGGCTGTAAATCTTTTTGGAGGCAGACTGCCTCATCTTTCTCCCCTGGAGCAGCTAAGGGGTTCAAACCACCAACTCATGGGTAGCCACTAAGTCCTTAAGCTCTGAGCTACCAGTATTCCTTTGAGCTACAATAGAGACCAAAGCCACAGGTGCAGATGCAATCCTGTGGTTTGTTTCAAAAGTAATTTTTCAGGCTGTGTTCCTGTAAGTGCCTGACTTAGCTAACCGAGAGGACTTGAGTAAAATAAAATAGATCATGTGCACCTGTACCTCTCCCTCAATTCAGTCATTGTGTCCAGTCAACTTACAGGAATAAAATTTCCATTAGAAAACAGCTGGGATCTTTGTGCTAGCAGGGAAGATAAGTTCCTCTCTGAGTTAGTTCCTTGGCAGACCGGGGCCAGGCTGTGCAGACCAGTCCCCATGTCAGAACCTCGCTCTACTGCAATGTCACCTTTCTCTAGAGACTGGTGGAACCTGGGAGACCTGGCCCCTTAGTTCGCCTGCAGACCAGGAGCTGAGCTCCCTCCCGGGGCTCAGTTTTCAGCCCAACAATAGACAAGTCTATAAAGGAGGGCCAGTGGCACTAGAGAGGTACACCCACCTTAGAAGAACCATCCATTGAAGATCAACAGCAGCATTTAGCCAAGGACAGCTCCGAAGGGCAAGAGAAGCAGGAGGAATGGACCCTTTCAGGGAACACCGAGAAGAGGAGGGACGGCTGACCTAACTCACCTGAGGGCTGCAGTGAACGAGAGGAGACCAACTCTCAACAGTGCCAAATGGAAAACTGATGTGCTCTGTAAACCTTCCCGCTTCACAAGAAACAGTTCAAATGGCACCCAAAGAGATGCGCCCCCTCCTCCCCTAAAAAAAAGAAAGCAACCTCGTGTCATCCCTCTGGCCTTCCCTGCAGGAAACTGTAGAGCATGGAGCACCTGCCTGGTGTGGGACTCCACAGCAGAGACAATAACACAGCAGTCACTTTTAGGTCACTTCCCACTCAGGGCGACCCCGGCGTGTCGGAGTAGAACTGTGCTCCATCAGGGTTTCCATAACTGTGACCTTTGAAAGCAGATGGCCCCTGGGTGGGATCAGTCCACAGGCCTTTCGTCAGTAGCAGAGCACGAACCATGTGCACCCCCTGGGAGGGTGAGCTGCGTGCTAACAAAGTGTGTGTCACTTCACTCTGGGAACTGAGAGCCAGGTTTCCCCCAGAGGGCTTAGGAAGAAGCAGCAGCCTTCCAGAATGAACCCACACAGCTGCGGTGGTGAGGCGCTAGGTAGTGAGCTCAGAACTTCCTGCACTTCAGACCCGGAAATCACACATCTGGGCCACCCACCCCCGACAGGAGGAAGCAGGCCTCTGTGCCCTTGGAGAAACCGGAGTGGTCTCTACCATCAGCAAGAACAACCCTTTCCCACGAAGGCCTTGTGCCAGCTGATGTGGGAAGGGCCGTGATGGCAGTGTCACCCTGCTGAGGCTGCCTAGAGAGGTTCTCTGCTCATCGTGGGAGCATTGTTTCCCGGGGCAGACTTCTGAGGAGGGCCCATGGATCCGATGTCAATGGGGCTGGGTTTGGGTGCTCAGTGGTTTTCTCTCACACTGGTTGCTGCGACGATAACAAGGAGCCTTCAAAAAGTTCAGAAAAGTGGGTCAGGGGGCACGTCAGACAGTGTAAGACATGACCAAATAATAATAATTTATAAATTTTCAAGGGTTCATAGGGAGGGGGGTGGGAGAGGGAGGAGAAAAACACGAGGAACAGAAAGCAGATGTTTTGAGAATGATGATGGCAACAAATGCACAAATGTGCTTGACACAATGGATAGATGGATTGTGATAAGAGTTGTATGAACCCCAAATAAAATGATTAAAAATTTTAAAAATTAATAGAAAAAAAAGAGTGGGATTCTTCTATTAAGCCCCCCTCACATCTGGTGACTCTGGCTAGAACTAACTTTACAGTCCACTGCCATTACATAAAGGAGGTTCAATTTGAACAGGCCAGGGGCGATTTTGTTTTAAATCCTTTCTGTTGAAGGGCTTAACAGCAAAACAAAAGCTAGAGGTTTCCACAGAAGAAATCCTGCCTGGCTTCCCAGCCTGCCTTACAAATTTGAGCCATACCAGGCCACACAATTTTGCACGAGCCAATTCCTTAAAATCATCTCTGTATATTGACTCGATGGCAGTCAGTATGTACAGATATATCCGTGTGGTTGTTGCTGACTGGTGCTACCTGGTCAGACCCAACTCAGAGTCCAGCATGATCACCGTCACGCCTTGGAGCCAACCGTTCCCCCTCAGAGGGAGCCTACGTACACTGGACCGAAGCCTGCCCAGTCCTGTGCTGCCCGCACATTGCCACTGTGTTTGAGCCCATCACTGCAGCCACGCTGTCCTCTCATCTACTGTTTACCGAGCAAGATGTCCTGCTCCGGGGATTAGGCAGTCTCACCTGATAACATGCCCAGATGACACGAGACCCAGTCCCTACACCCTTTCCTCGCTGTGGAGCATTCTGGCTGTGTGAGACCTTCCAGCATTCCAGAGTACATCCGGTGTTCTAAACTCACCAGCACCCTAGTTCAGATGCGTCGGGTCTTCCTGGGTCTTCCTCATTCATTGTCCAACTTTCTTATGCATATGAGGTGATTGATAATAACATGGTCAGGCGCATCTTAATTCTCAATATTATCCGTAGTTTGCTGTGATGCGTGCTGTTGAATGCCTTTGCAGAGTCAGGGAAACACACCCCTCTTCCTGGGATCCTCTGCTTTCAACCGAGATCAGTGTGACACAGCAGTGAGAGCTCTCATTCCACACCCGCTCTTGCATGCAGCCTGCTTTTCTGGCCAGTCCATGCCCGTGAGCCGCTGAAGCCGACCTTGAACTTGATGGAGGCATGCATACGTACACAGCTTTTGAGGGCAAATCCAATTTCTACTCATGGCAAAGCCATGTCCATGGCTGATATTTTGGCATCAATCTCCAGCCCTTTCATCCAGGGTACCAGTCAGCTTCCAACCTTCCTGCTACCAGCCACATGCTTCCGCACCCTAACCATGCTGGGGTGTCACACACGTGCACATACATAGACAGGCATATGAGGGTGTTTCCGAAATGCCATGAAAAGTTCCATGATCCTTCCATCCTATTTTCCCCTGGTTCTTCTGAAACCCCCTCGTAGTTACTTAACGTGCACTCACTGTATCTGCAGCCTCTGTTGGATCTGTTTCGCAGAGCACTAACCGAGATCGTTCACTGCCGGCCTTGGACCTTTCTCAAGGAACATTGCAGCATCTGTGCTGCAGAGAATCAAATTTAAACTCTTTCCTCACAACTCCCACCAGGAGACCATGTGGGAAGACCAAGCACATGACATTGTGATGCTAATGCTCAGTGTCTTTTCTCCTTGTCCCTTGAAGGTCTCCTTAGTTCCCTCATCCGGGCCACTGTCTCCAGACCATGGGAGCAACACCTCAGTGTCCCCCCAGATCTCGGACAGCAGCATCGCACCCTTGGCTGACTTCAATTACCCCCCGGAATTCTCCTCCTGCCTGGACAACTCTGCCGCCAAGCACAAGCTCCTGGTGAAGCCTCGTAACCAGCGGTCAACTACAATGAGGCGGCTGTCTTCGGTAACTGGGCCTCCCCTGTGCCCCGGGGCAGGGTGGCAGCCTGGCAGCCCCTCTGCCCTCGCACAGCAGGGTCACTTGCCCCCTCTGGGCACACGCTGCCCATGGTTGATGGGCCTGTGACCTGTCATGTGCCTGCATGCTCGTGGCATTCGTTTGTTCATTCATTCTGCAGACGCTCAGTAAGACAGTGTGACTGTGTGCTGGAGAGGAGCGCTGGTGGCCCAGTGGGTTAGGCATTGTGCTGTTAACCACAGGGCCAGCGGTTTGAACCCCACAGCCATTCCACTAGAGGTTGCTGAAGCTGCCTGCTTCTTCAAAGATTTACAACATTGGGAACCCTATGGAGCGGTTCTGTGTCCTCCAGGGGCACAAGGACTCAGAATTGACAGCAGCGAGTGGACGTGATTTACTGTGTGCGGCCCTCCCATCACACTCGGTGGCACGTCCAGTCCCCGCTATGGCTTCCCATGATCCGGCCCTGCCCCCGCCTCTCACTTTTTCATATAACACGCCCTCCACTTTGGCCTTCGTTCTGTTTCTGGGGCTCTGCCAGCCGTCTCCTGCTTCAAGCCTTGTGTGCCTGCTGTCGTCCCTTCCCCTGACCGTCCTGCTGACAGCAGCCCCCTCCGTCATGCACATCGATCCCTGCCTGCATGGCACCCCTGTGCGCACACAGAAGTGATGCCTCAGAAAGTGTGTATTCACTGGCTTAATGCCATTCTTCTTGGAGACTTTGGCCCCGCTGCCCCTCTGACCCCTGGCACCACATGTGTCACAGGGCTGGCACTCAGTAGCCATTTGTTAGGGGGCGGAATGACTGACAGAAGACAACAAACACTGAGCACGTGCATGGGCATGAGGGCTTTCTTGTGGCACCTCTTGGCTTCGTGGCACCGATGGTGAGAGGGCCACATAGGCTTGCTGCTTTCTACTGACTGAGTGCCCATCGGGCCTTTCCCCTGGGAGGGTGTGGTGCCCGCATGGCCACAGAAAGACAGAATGACCAGCGTCTTCTTATTTGCCTCACTTCCTGGCTGCCTCTCTGCACGGAGGGAATGCTCCCTGAGCCAGTGGTCAGCAAACCAGACAGACCCACCTTTAAGTGTCTGCTGCCTGGCAAGGGAGACTAACTGAAAGCCACTGAATGTGCTGACTCTGGGGAGAGCTGCGGGAACGGTCACGGGGCTTTTGGAACATGTCACCAGGGGCCTTGATTGAGTGGGGTGGGAGGAGCGCGCACAGGGGAGGAGGCAGAGTTAGCTACATATGCGTGAAGGAAACACCTGATGACTTAAATTAATTGCAATATCCACCTAATTTTATTCCAGTTTTAAAATACGGTTCCTCCTCCAGCCATATTGCAAGTGCGCATTGGTTGCCTGTGGACGGTGGCTTCCACACCGGACAACGCCAAAAGTCTGGGTGGGCTTCACACTGCTCCAGGGTCACTCGTGGCTCTGTGGAATCCTCAGGAGTTCCATCCTTCCACGTGGGATAGTTTTTTAAAGAGGGGTTTCTATCCTGAAAGCAAACTTCCATCCGTCCTCGCCCTGATTGTGGGGTGTTGAAGAAGCCCATACCACAAGCAGGGCATCTCAGCAGGAGGCAGTGGGAAGGGGTAATTTTGAGATTTCCCTGTAAGAGAGCGAGTTTTCCTTTAGACATGTAGAATGGGCGGCCGAAACACACGTCAATAGTGCTCAGCTTCAAGTGGACCTCTTGCAGGAGCAAAGAAGCAAGATCGAGGCTTCCTCCAGTCTGTACATTCCCGTCCAAGGCAGGGGCGAGAGTATTGGTGCATGTGCTTGTGCTGCCAGAGCATTTACAGGAAAATGCTGGGTGCTCTTGGGACTTCACATGGCCTGGTAGAGTTCCCAGCATCCCAGTCTCTTCGTGCTGACTTGGCCCACAGTGCTAGAGATGGAGGCAGCTCCCTCCTGGCCTGGCCCTCAGATGCCCGCTTGATTCCCACCAGAATGTCTGTAGCCCAGGCCGGAGTGAGCAACTAGCCAAAGTTGGCTAAGATATGGTGACAGAAGGAAGCCTGGCTCATGGTCCAGATGGAAAAGCAGCATTCCCTCCCTCTGCCCCTAGGTACAGCTATTATTCTCTTCCTTGACTTAGTTTTTAGTAATATTTACTTGATATTAGTATTATTTTCAGTGAAGGTTGACACAGCAGCATAGGTTCCCGTTCAACAAAGTCTACATGAATTGTTCAGCAACCTTGGGTATATTGTTCTCAGTGCAAGAACATTCTCATTGCTTATGGTTACTCCATTTGCATGAGCCTAGTTTACCTGCTTCCGCGCCCCCCCACCCCCACCCCAGCAGACTTCTCATCTTTGTTTTAAGGTCATTTTTGACTGGGGAAAATACGAGGCTCTTTCCTCCCATAGTTACTGTGTTAGTCTGGGTTGATTAGAGAAACAAATTCATAGACATTCCTATGTGTATAAGGAGAACTTTATATCAAAGAGCGATTGCACATTAAGAAAACATCCCAGTCCAGATCAAGTCCATAAGTCCGATATTACCCCATATGTCAATACTAGTCCATAAAATCCTCTTTAGACTCACAAAGCCATGCAATGATGCTGTATGCATGCATGTAGGCTCGGGAAGATCACAGCCCAGTGGGTGGAAAGTCTTGTGGATCCAGTAGTGGTAGAAGCATCTTGGCGCTGGTGTGAGTCTCCACATGGCTCCGCCAGCTCCCAGGGCTCTGGCTGCATCAGCGTAGCTCCATGTGGTTTTTCAGCAGGAAGATGAAGCAGAGAGTCTCTCCCAGGCAGAATACAGGAATTCCCAGAATCCTCAGGAGAAGGCCATGCCCACACGGAGGCCTGGTTGACAGGCTGTATTCCACAACTTTGCAAGTTGCCAGGAGATCATGTAACTGCCACAGTTACAGTCTCAGAAACCCACAGAGGGCAGTTCTACCCTCTCCTGTAGGGTCGCTGTAGGATCGACTCATTTGGCAGTAAGTGTAGAGTCAGTCTGTTGACTCTGTTCTCAGGTGGGTGATTTTTTAAAGGAGCACAATACCCACAGGTAGTCGTCTTTATTTTGTGAGTTGGTCTGTTATTTCGCTAAAAGGGTCCTACAGGGGCTGGTTTGGCCTTAAGATTTAAAGAGTATCTTAGGGCAAAAGGCTTGGAGAGGACTGGTCTGGTAATTCTCGATTTTTCTGTGAAGAATTTAAGGTCCTCTTCCTTCTGTTCTCCCAGTGTGCTCTTACTCGGCCCAGCTCGGGATGGTCAGTGGTTGCTCAGGCACCGTGGAGTCCTCCTGCCTCAGTGGAGCTTGGGCAGTGGCTCACAACAGCCACAGCTCCCCAGACTTAGTATACCACCTCCTTATCAGAAAAAAAATTACCTTGCGCCCACCCTGGCAAGTAAGTGTTTGTACTGAAGGCCAACATTGAGGATACAGTATAGGGGTCTGTTTTCGTAGCCGCGCTGAATCATTCCAATGCCGTCAGGAGGTGGTATCGCCAGCTCTGGGAAACAAGGCGGAGCGTTGGTCCTGGGGACCGGTCTCTGCGAGTCCCTGGTTCACTCCTTTCTCTTTTGCTCTGGACCCGTCGGCACCAGAAAGTGTGTATTAGACGGACACTCCCACGCTTTTCAGATCTCAGATCCAACCCACCAAACTAGGCTGCAGACCCTAAATGTTATGAGTGATGGGATA